TGTAGTCCTACTGTAGTTGTAGTCCTACTGTAGTCCTACTGTAGTTGTAGGCCTACTGTAGTCCTACTGTAGTTCTACTGTAGTTGTAGTCCTACTGTGGTTGTAGTTCCACTGTAGTCCTACTGTAGTTGTAGTCCTACTGTAGTCCTACTGTAGTTGTAGGCCTACTGTAGTCCTACTGTAGTTCTACTGTAGTTGTAGTCCTACTGTGGTTGTAGTTCCACTGTAGTCCTACTGTAGTTGTAGTCCTACTGTAGTCCTACTGTAGTTGTAGTCCTACTGTAGTTGTAGTGTAGTTGTAGTCCTACTGTAGTTGTAGTCCTACTGTAGTTGTAGTCCTACTGTAGTTGTAGTCCTACTATAGTCCTACTGTAGTTGTAGTTCTACTGTAGTTGTAGTCTTACTGTGGTTGTAGTCCTACTGTGGTTGTAGTTCCACTGTAGTCCTACTGTAGTTGTAGTCCTACTGTAGTCTTTTTCCAGCAGCGGTCCTGATGTGGACCGTGTCCACTCAGCTCACAGCTGCTGCAGCAGTAGGACAGTAGGCCTTCATCCACACTTGTCCAAACTGCCTGTTATCAGCCTCGTCTCGTCTCGTCGTCTCCCATAATTCTCGGCAGCCATTTCCTGTCTCTGTCCGACCGCAGCGACGCAGTTATAGCTGCTGTTTTTTCCTGGTCGACTACAGTATTGGATTTCATGTTTTATCAGCAGAAGACGCTGTGAGATAAAGTGTCTACGTGGCTCTGCTCTGTTTTCAGGCTCCACTGCCTGAAAGTTTGGTTTTGTTTTTAATCCATTTTTATCAGGTAAGATCCTGAATCAGCAGACGGAACAATCCTTGACTGGGTTTCACTCTTCCTGTTCTCCAGGTCTGGGCGTGGAAGGAGAATGTGTGGGAGAAGGAGAAGGGAACGCTGATGGAGAGGTACACCGTGGAGCAGAGCAAACCTCAATCACACGGTGGCGCTGTCCTGTCAACGCTCACCATCAACAACGTCATGGAGTCGGACTTTCACTCCCCGTACAACTGCACGGCCTGGAACTCCTTTGGACCTGGAACCATGATCATCACACTGGAGGAAAAAGGTTTGGAACAGTTCACTGACGTCTGAGCACAGGTGTGAATGAGTCAGGTGTGAATGAGTCAGGTGTGAAT